TCCTTGCTCTGGGATCTGGTGGGGAGGGGCCTTGCTCCTCGCCTGAGCTCTGCCTTCCCTGTTCCAAACTTGAAGGGCCCTGGCCTGCTTCAGCCTGTTCCTCCCCACAGTCCTCTGAAGCCACAGACACCCCCTCCTGGGCCTCAACAGGGAACTCCATGTCGTCCTCAGAGTCAGGCTCGGACGGAGGCATGACAGGTTCCATAAGGAACTCATGGGATCTGCTACAAGGTCCTGCTGAATCTCTGGTCACAACCTGGAATCTGAGAGTGGCTGAAGCTTTGGAAAGGATTGCACATGTGCAGCCTCTCTTGACCCATCACGCCCGGCACTCCCCATGGTTCATGGAGGAATTGAGGCTGTTGAAAAGGGCCAAGAGACGCCTAGAGCACTGCTGGAGTAAAACAAAGGATGAATCCGACCGGACATGGGTGAGAGCCACTATTAAGGCCTAACTTGTGCTGGTAAGAGTGGCAAAACAGCATTATTTCTCTGCTCTTATTGTGTCTTCAGACTGTTGCCTGGCAGCCCTGTTCAGGGTCGCCTGGTTCCTCCTGGGGAAGGATGGCTTGGGTGATCTTCTGCAGGGCCATGTGGAAGAATTTGTGGAACACCTGACAGACCAAGTTGTTCGAATCCATTCTCAGTTGGAGTCCAAGCGTGGAGCAGGTCCAATAGAGATGCCCAAGGAATGGCCTTACCTGGTTATCTGGGCACAGTTTGATCCTGTTGGACCTAATGAAGTGGACAGGGTCATCGATGCTGTCAGCGCAACCACCTTTGATAACAGAATAACAGGGTTGGAAGGGACCTTGGAGGTCTTCAAGTCCAACCCCCTGCTCAAGCAGGAGACCCTATACATTTCAGACAAAAGGCTGTCCAATCTCTTCTTAAAAATCTCCAGTGATGGAGCACCCACAACTTCTGGAGGAAAGCCGTTCCACTGGTTAATTGTTCTTACTGTCGGGAAATTTCTCCTTAGTTCCAGGTTGCTTCTCTCCTTGATGAGTTTCAGTCCTTTGCTTCTTGTCCTGCCTTCAGGTGCTTTGGAGAATAGGTTGACCTCCTCCTCTTTGTGGCAGCCCCTAAAATATTGGAACACTACTATCATGTCACCCCAGTCCTTTTCATTAAACTAGACATACCCAATTCCTGCAACCGTTCTTCATATGTTTAGTCTCCAGCCCCAAATCATCCTTTTAGTAGAATATCCCCCTAACCCTCCACCCCATTTACACATTGGTCCCTTTTTACCTAGTTCTTGGTTGATTTTGATGTTTTAATTCTGAATGTTGAATATTATTAATGTTTTTAATGTTCTTATTGTTTTATATTATGCTTTTATATTGTTGTAAGCCACCCAGAGGTGCTGGACAGTGAGATGGGTGGCATACAAATTTAATAAATGATAATAATAACAATATAGCAAATCAGAACTGTCATAGAAGGAATTTTCATGTGAAAACTTGTTGAGCCATTTTGTCCCCGAGTTAAATGCTGTCAGTAGAATACAGAGCTATTCACAAAATAAATTTGAGTTTAGTAGCTTTCTGGGACACTTTCATATTATAATTTTAACTATTTAAAACTATTTAAAACATCACTAATATTAAACATTTTTCTTTTAAACAGCCTTGCAATGTTTTTGTCTTCACTGTACGAAAGAGAATTTTACATGCACAACAGATGGGCTCTGCATTACTTCAGTAATACAGAATAGAAACCATATCATACGCAATAGCATGTGCCTTGCAGAAATTGATCTATTTCCCAGAGACAGGCCATTTGTTTGTGCTGTTTCAACAAGTAAAGGAGTAATTACAGTGCCTCATTGCTGCGATAAAGACTTCTGCAATAAAATAGATCTTCCGATTCCAACACCAGGTAAATAATCTTTTGTTTTGCCAGCAGAAAATGGATAGCTGAGGGGATTCCCTACAGTGAAACATATCTATAAAGCACAATTTTATTGTTTTTCATTTCACACACTACCAAGTCCTCAGCATAATATTTAACTAATGAGTTGTTTGTTTCCTCTTTTGTGTTCCCTTTTTACAGTCTTAGGTCCTGTACCAGGGAAGTTTTCTTCCACTCTGGGACCAGTGGAATTGGCTGCTGTCATTGGTGTGCCAGTTTGTTTTGTTTGCATTTCACTTATGTTGATTGTTTATATCTGCCATAATCGCACTGTCATACACCATAGAGTTCCAAGTGAAGAAGAGCCTTCAATAGACCGTCCATTTATATCTGAAGGAACTACTTTAAAAGATTTAATTTATGATATGACCACTTCAGGATCAGGATCAGGTAATAGAGTAATTTCCCCATATTCTAGTAAACAATGTTATATTGTTAATAGTGCTACAGACACTGTCATGTGGAAAAGGAAACCCCTATCTTGTTTAACTTTCATATCAGAATAAAAGATTATCTGAAGCTTAAGATTTATGGCATTTCCAAATTCAACCCTAACCTAAGTATAACTTATCCTTTAGCTTTATAATATACAGGTAATTCTTGCTTAACAACAATAATTGGGACCGCAATTCTGTTGCTAAGCGATGTCATAAAGAGCAAAGTTACATGGCCAGATTGCTTAGTTATGACAATACTGGCAGTCCATGTTGTCATCATTAAGCAAGGACCTCCCTACAACTTCCTGCCCGCTTCCATCAACCAATATCATTTGGGAAGGTGGCAGGAAGTTGCAAGTCCCAGGTGGTTCACAAGCAGGCCAGCAGGAAGGTAAGTGGTTCCTGCCAGGTGAGGGAGAGAGTGCATGTGGCTGCAATAGGGTACACAAGCTTGTTCGATCTGGAGGTGGCTGCTACTGGGTGGGGCAGGGCGTATGGGTGGCTGCAGGGTTGTGAGCAATTTTGGGCCTGGGGGTGGTTGCTACTTGGTGGGGGAGACTTACTGGAGTGACTTGCGACATTCCCTGGCAGCTTCCCCATTGACTTGGTTGTGGGAAGCTGGCAGGGAAGGTTGCAAACAGTCCCAGGGTGCTGCAACCATTGTAAGTGTGAGCCAGTTGCCAAGCCCACAGATCACAATCATGTGACTGCAGGGACTGTGCGACAGCCAAAACTTTGTGGACCAATTGTAAGTACCACTTGTTCAGCACCATTGCAACTTCAAACAGTCGCTGAACGAGTGGTCGCTAACCAAGGACCACCTCTACTGTTAATATATTTACATTTACATTCCAGTTTTTCTTTAGGAACTCGGCAGCACACCTAGAGCTCCTTCCTCCTATTTTGCCCCACAACAACCCTGACTGGGGCTAGAGGGAATGATTAGCCCACCATCACCTGTTAAGGTTCTATGGCTAAAGGTAGATTAGAACCTGGGTCTTCATGGTGTCAGCCCAACATTTTAACTACTATACTGCGTTGGGTGTCATGTACTTTGGGCACTATAAAGGAGCCAAGTAGGTGTCCTTGCAGAAATGAGGCATTAATGATGGTTGGAAAAATATGCTACAGTATAAGCCCATGAGCGTGAGAAAGAGCTAAAGCTGACTTCTCCCTAATTCACTACAGGTAGTCCCAAAGGTGCTTTTTCAAGAGGCCACTGGACTTTCTTGTTTTTCTTTGAAGACGTTTCGCTTCTCATCCAAGAAGCTTCTTCAGCTCTTGGATGAAGCTTCTTGGATGAGAAGCGAAACGTCTTCAAAGAAAAATAAGAAAGTCCAGTGGTCTCTTGAAAAAGCACCTTTGGGACAACCATGACCTGGATGACTGAGAATCTCCATAGACATTCACTACAGGTAGTTCTTGGTTTACATCCATTCAGCAACCATTCAAAGTTACAGTGGCACTTAAAAATTGGACTTACAACTGGACCTCGAAGTTCCAGCCATTGCTGGGTACCCACAGTGATTGTAGTCCAGGTGTCTGGCTCACAGTTATAACATTGCAGTGAGCCACAATCACATGATTGCCATTTGCAACCTTTTCTGCCAGCTTCCCACAAGCAAAGTCAATGGGGAAACTGTCAGAAAAGTCACAAATTGCTCCCACCATTTTGTCTCCCAAGGAGCCTGGTATGGAGTATGAGATCTTGTACTCTGTAGCACCTCCCGCCCACCCACACTCCATCACACACACTGCCCACAGCAACACCCCTGCTTGCCCGTGGCCTCCACTGGCCTTTCCACAGCTTCCATCAGCCTGTCTGCACTTAATGACCTGTGTGGTCCTGGGGTTATAACGGCAACCAGGACTGGCAGAATTGTTAGTAAGTGATGTGGTCACATGCCATTGTGCTTTACAAACACATGCCTTAGTTATGGCAATCCTAGTCCCAATTGCTGCTGTAACTCAAGGACTACCTGTAGAGTATAAGAAAGAAGGAGTAAAATAATTCATTTCGAGGTTCTGTTACTATAGCCAATATCAAATAAAAGTGTAGTTCCAGTTCCAGTCAGACTTGAGTCTGTTTCCTGGCCTGGTCTATCTCGCAAAGCAAACAGGTATGTACATACCAGATTTGATTAGACCCCAACTGGAAAACTATTTCAGCTTTAAAGAGTTTTGAGATCCACTGAATTGATTTAGATTAAAGTCTCCCTAGATATGGGGAGTAGGAAGTTGCAGTGATTAAAAAAAAGTTACATTTTTGTGTGCTTATAGCAAGTGCAATAGGATAAGATAGGATGATTAATGCAACCAAAGAACTGCCCAGAAGTATTTACTATTGTTAGTGGAAATAAATCATTAACTATTATTTGAAGTTGCCTTTTTTTTTTGACAAAGCAGAATTGGTATCCTTTATGACCAAAGACAAAGCATGGTCAACTAGAATTAGTAATAGCTAGAGACTTCAACTGTCTTTTTGATAGGAGCCTGGATTAATTAATTGGTTCTTTATCACTGATCGTAAAAAACTTTTTTTTTAGGTTTGCCATTACTTGTTCAAAGAACAATTGCAAGAACAATTGTACTACAAGAAAGTATTGGAAAAGGTCGATTTGGAGAAGTCTGGCGAGGAAATTGGAGAGGAGAAGAAGTTGCGGTAAAAATATTCTCTTCAAGAGAAGAACGCTCATGGTTTCGTGAAGCTGAAATCTATCAAACAGTAATGTTACGTCATGAAAATATTCTTGGATTTATAGCTGCAGACAACAAAGGTTGTGACATTTAGAAAAACATTTATGAACTCCTTTGCTTATCATGTAACTTATTACATACCAGTAATGAGAAACATTAATAATATAATGGCTAAGCATGCTCTATATCACGGGTGTCAAACTTGCCACATCATGTGACGTGTTGCGACGTATTGCGACTCTTTTTGCATTGCCGGCAATGGGGTGGGCGCAGCTTCGGTATGATGAAACCGGTCTGCGGGCCGGCAGTTTGACACCCCTACTCTATATTAAGAAAAAAAGCTGTTTGAAAGAAACTATTTTTTAAAAAAAATATCCTTTTTGTTCATTGGGAAACAAAATTGTAATGGTTTTATGTTCATGTTTGAACCTCTGTTAAAAGCTTATATTAAGTATCTCTTACTCTGCCAAATTGGGTGCTCTCCTTGTGTGTCGAATTCAATATCCAAAATTCCTAAGGAAGCATGGCCATTGCAGAGAATTTTAAGAGTTGAAACCGATACTGATCTGGCACTTGCCAAGGCTGGGAAACACTGAAACTTTACTTGGAATAAATTTCACTAGATTTACTTGCAAGGCTAATTAAATAACAGCAGTTTCCAACCTAAGTACTTGAGTACTAAGGACCACCAGGAGATACTAAGAGTGTAAACTAGACTGGGAAGTAAAACAAAAACAAAAACCTGGAAGGCAGTAGCAAGCTACTTCCAGATTGTTGCCAATGGATGTGTCCATTAAATTACCAGGAGTCAACCTCAGTTTGAAGAAACTACCTTTCAAGTGAGCATAATTTTATAGATTGATATTAAAAACTAACATGAATTGCTTGCAATGAGAAATTTTGGCTGTACAAATGGCTTATATTGCAATGACTTAAGAAATATTTTTATCTGGATTTTAGACATGTTTTTCAGCATAGAGTTTTTTAAAAGCATGGTACATAAATCTCCATGACTTCATTAGGATTTAAACACCTGGTATGTGCAAGTTTATAATCACTATTTTTGTTGCAAATAGAAATCCTTTCCATTTTTAAAGATTTTACTGCAGTAAGGTAACAGTAGTTAATATTCTTCATGGGATCAGAATAACTTGTGCATTTTCCAGTGTGTTTTGTTTGTTTTGTTCCCTTAATTTTAATTGTTCCTTTATTGTTTGGATTTGCAGATAATGGTACATGGACACAACTCTGGCTAGTGTCAGATTATCATGAGCATGGCTCTCTTTTTGATTATCTGAACAGGCATACTGTTACTGTAGAGGGAATGATAAAACTGGCATTGTCAACTGCCAGTGGACTTGCACATCTTCACATGGAGATTGTTGGCACACAAGGTAACTTATCTTGAGTTTATAGTCTTAATCATATGTACCAATGCTTGTTTCATTTGTTGATGTATAACTTCTCTCAGTAATATATAGTTTAATATGTTAATCATATCCATTGCAGTTTAATTAGATGTAACATTTAATTTATTTGATTTATGTTTAGATTTTAAAAAAATGATTGCATGGATAATACTTCTGGAATATCCACTAATTAAAGCTTTCAGTGGGAAACCCCTCCACTATCTTTATGGTGCTAAAGTACCTCTCCCTCTTACTAGTGCCTCTGCCTAAACTCACAGGAGCAACTCCTTCTGGCAGTTTTCATTCTTTTTTCTATCTTCTATTTTAATCATCTGTTCTAAAATAAGTTTTTCTACATAGTTTTAGCAGGTGAGCTAGCAAGTTGTACTGGAGAGACACAGTAAAGGAGGCAATCTAGATAAAAAAAATCTAATAAGTCTAGTAAAAAACTAATAAATCTACTGAAGCCTAGTATACTTTAACTAAAAATTAATTAGCCCATTATATTCCTGCAGTTTGCAAGGTTTTCCAAGTTAAGGTAGCCCCTCAGTTTCTTTATGGCTCCCAAATTTGCTCTTTCGCAAAGCTTAACATTCTTGGAACCATTCAGAATAAGTTTATTCGAGACATATGGATAATTCCAGAAAGTATCCAAAAGGCCATCTTACTTGTAGAAACAGACATGGTCTTGTTGGAGCATGGTTTCTTCTAATTACCTTTTGGCTAAAGTTAATCCTACTTCCTATAGGTTTGGCCCATTAGTACTTAGAGATCATTTTAGATCATTATTAAAAAGCCTTGATAAAATTCATATACTGGGATTCTCTATGGAAAGTTTGTGCTCATTAGGTTTTGATAATACCATAACTGCCCTCAAATAGCAAATTTGGCATATCGATCTCCAAACAAATTTAAGCAACGTGTCACACCCCAGTATTGATCATATTCTTCTAAAAGGGTTTGTGCCAGCCTATTTATTTTTTTAAAACTTTTTATTGATTTTTTTCATACAATTCAGTAGTACTTATTCAACAAACGTGTTGTCTGAGTTTATCATTCACTAATACAAATTTAATTCCTAATCCTTTATTCTTTTCTCCAGCCATTGATAAAATAAGTCCCAAGTTGTTGTTTTTTTAAATAAATTTTTATTACTTTTTATAATTAAACAACAAAGATTATGATGCATTTACGTACATAAACAAAAAAGAAAAAATAATCCAAATCGATACATTTTCAGAGACGCTCGGCGGTCCCCGCCATGCCTCCACCCTCATCCACTTTCCTTTCCTTCCTCCCGCTAACCCCCAACCTCTCCACCTTCCTCCTTACCACCTATCTACATCCCCTCTCCTTTCTTACCACCTCCTCGAGTGCAATTTGGGATACCAGCCGAGCATCTCCTCTTACCAATACAATAAGTATTTATCTATAAAATGTAAATACATCAATTTTTATAATTCCCCTAATCCCCTACCCCCCCCCCCCTGAGCTTCCCGGAACCCAATACAGGACTAACACTCACCCCATTCCATATCTAAATTACAATTTAACTAAACAAAGATAATACAATCAGTATATACATAGTTTAACTCTAATAATACAATAAGTAACAACAATACAACTGATCAAAGACTATATGAATCAACATTTATAATACCTAAATATAAATTTTTTTCTTACATTTTACTCTTAAATTTTTCCTACACTTTCTTCACTCTCAAATCAATATTTTCAGCAAAGATCTTAAGTCAATACTATTCATAGCTGGAAAAATAATTTACTTTATCAAATATTTTAAAGCTTTCAAAATACTATAAGTTCTTTACAGACATATAATCAAATATTAAAGTAATTTCTTCCTTTTCCATAATAAAATCTCACTTCCAGCATCATCAATTTAACCA